AGAAACCAGGAGTATAACTGTGGCTGAAATGGTAGAGCACTAGCCTTGAATAAAAAAGCTCAGGGACAGCACTTAGACCCGAGTTCAAACCCCAGGACCCGACCCCCCGCCGCCCGCATTCCAGATGGCATCACCTTAAGGATATTATGTTCAACTCACCCGTCGTCCAGCCAAGGGTCACAATCTTTCTCTTATCTACTCAATTATGGTCACATTCTCCACTCCTACAAACCAGGGTCAGAAACCTCCCAGATTTCTGAATGAAATCTCCCAGATTTCTGAATGTTACTGGGGAGGAAAGGTGAAATGGTTTTAGGATGCAGTAAACACATGCCAGCTGCACTCCCCACAAGAAAATACATCAGTTCTCTCTCTCTCTCTCTTTTGGTCATGGGGCCTGAACTCTGGGCCTGGGCGCTGTCCCTCAGCTCTTCAGCTCAAGGCTAGCGCTCTACCACTTAAGCCACAGTGCCACTTCCGGTTTTCACGGACTTTCCTGCCCCGGCTGGCTTTGAACCGTGATCCTCAGATCTCAGCCTCCTGAGCAGCTAGGATTACAGGCGTGAGCCACTGGTGCCTGGCTTAATACATCAGTTCTTTATACTCTCTTCCAGGACTTGGGAGCAGAGAATGACTCCTAAATCATTCTATGAAGTCATCATCACCCTAATCCCAAACCACAGATATTACAAGATGAGAGTTGCCTACTCCCTTTCAGTTCTTCAGTGTGGTCAGTCTACACATCTGCCTTTATATACCTGCCTCCAGATGGCTTACTCCTGAACGCAGAGCTGGGTGCATCGTAGCAGATGTACATCTGTGCAGATATGCATGGGAGCCACTGAGCAGTCACAGAATGCCTCGATGGGACTGATGTCTGTAACTTCCACAGGAAACCCAGCTAGAAAACGGCTTGGAAACCGGAGTTATATGTCCTCTATTCTCTTTGTCCTCCGGCTCTCTTCAGTTGCTGGTTGAATGTGTGTTTCAGATGGAGCCCACTTCCCAGTGGTCCTGTGAGGTAGGCTGCTCTTCTCTGGGATCTGTAAGTAACAAAACTGTTTCTGTTATTTTATGTTTGGTTTTAGTTTTCCTTTTGTTTGACATGACTAACATCTCAAAGCCAACTTCCTTCCAAATCTTGGCTCTCCTAGACAGTGGGTATCTTGGTAAGTATCAACTGGACAGAGGTCAGACAAGAGTCACAAAGGCATGTAGCAGTATAAACAAGTTTCTTATTAGAGGGACATTTGGTCACAAGTTAAACAGACATTAAGCCACCACCAGGGTGAAGATGTATCCCGCAGACACCATCACCATCCACATTCTGACAGAAAAACGTCACTGGTGACAGAATGGCTCAAGTAGATCACCCGCCTAGCAAATGAGTTCAAACTCCAACACCCCTGCCCACCCCCCACCCCCTGCACATAAACACAAAAAGTGGGCAGGGTGGTTCAAATTATCATCTTAGCTGCCAAAAAGTAGTAATTTGGGGATCACAGTTCCAGGCCTGCCCAAGCATAAAAGTTCATAGGACTCCACTCAGTGGCTGGGTGCAGCGGCCAGCCCCATAATCCCCGACTCATGAAACACAAGTAGAACAGTCCAGGCCAGCCTGGGGATAAAGCAAGAAAATAATCCGAAAAGCTGGGTGGCTACTGCCCATAATCCTAGCTACTCAGTAAGCTAAGATTCAAAGGATCAAGGTTCTAAGCCCACATCTGCAAGACTCCTAAAAGTATAACCAGCAAAAAGCAGGGCTGAGCCAGGCACTGGTGGCTCATGCCTGTAATCCTAGCTACATAGGAGGCTGAGATCTGAGGATCACAGTTCAAAGCCAGCCTGGGCAGGAAAGTCCATGAGACTCTTCTCTCCAATAAACCACTAGAAAACCGGAAGAGGCACTGTAGCTCAAGTGAGAGAGCACTGGCCTTGAGCTGAAGAGCTGAGGGACAGCGCCCTAGCTGAATTCAAGCCCCATGACCAACCAAAAAAAAAAAAGCAGGGCTGGAAAGCCACTTCTTACCATTTGCCTTATATAACTAGTTTCTCTCTCTTTTTCTTTCATGGGGCTTGAACTCTGAGCTTGGGCGCTGTCCCTCAGCTCTTCAGCTCAAGGAGAGCGCTCTACTGCTTGAGCCACAGAGCCACTTCCTAACTGGTTTCTCAAGTGAGATGAGTAACTCATCTTCATTGACCTGGAAATGATCACAAGTAGATGAAAACTTGTAAAATTGTTGAATTTGAAAGCTATGCTGCAGTTGGCAGCTTCATGAAAGTGAAGTGCCATTTTGCAAACTCGTTGCCATGACAAATGCTGGAAGGTTGGAGACTGTTCTTAGGAAATCACTTGGATCATCTTCTAGTGCAGAAGATCCTAAACCGAATTGCTTGTGTTGATCTTGGAGGACTGGTTATGGCTAGGCTATAGGAGAGCCGTGACTTCTAAGTCTACTCTACCAACAAAATCCAGCAAAGGGATCTGCAACTTCCACTGCTCTCCTCTAAGTTTTCAGTCTATGAAGACAGGCCAGAACACACAGCACAATGGCTCCATGGTTTGACATAAACATTTATTGCTCATTTTCACAAACTCCATTACAGCTCTGGGAACTCCAGAACAACTGCTGTCTGGAGTGACTTCATCTCATGGTTCTTCTCTGTGTTTCCATAGCTGAGGCAGAAAGGGAAAGCACTAGAGTCTCATACCAGAAAGCAGGTGCTTCAGCCCAGAAGTTGAGACTTCTGTGCACAACCCACCGACCAAAACGATCTTGTGAACCTACCTTACTACAAGGTGCAAGAAATCAAAACCAGGGGCTGGGAAGGTGGCTCAGTGGTAGAGTGCTTGCTTTGCATGCATTAGGCCCTGGGTTAGATTCCTTAGCACTGCATAAACAGAAAAAGCTGGAAGTGGTGCTGTGGCTCAAGCAGTAGAGCACTCACCTTGAGCTGAAGAGCTAAGGAACAGCGCTCAGGCCCAGAGTTCAAGCCCTACAACCAAAAATAAATAAATAAATAAAAATCATTTTCCACTTTAGCTTCTTTCCCTATTTACTTCACTGCAATAAATGATATGTCTAAGAAGTGCCTTGAACACAGTAGGTTCTCATTAAATCAAACCAAATGAATGTAGTGCTAGGAGGGAATCCATGTCATTGGGAGAAAGTTGTAAGACTTGAAAACTAATGGGATGTTTGATAAAGAGCTGGCAACACGTTAAGAAATTGGACTTGGTTTAATCCATTTCACAGAAACGAAACAAAATTACTATTGAGCATTCCAGACCTACAGATGAAGTATCTCTTCTTACACAGGCCATAAAGCATTAAAACCAAGGATCAAATCAACTTAGCATAGAACTGCAAAAGCCGTAACCTCATCTGCTCCTTTCACACAATCAGTCATCCCAAATTACTACTGAGAAACAGGGCAAAGAAAAAAGTTGTATTGGCCACATTCTGCCAGGCTCCATTATAGCAGCGCTAGTTTCATAAATCCACTTACCCCCTAGAACCCTGAGTTTAATGCTATCTCTATTTTAGAGAAAAAAAAATGTAAACTTAGCCAGGCACCAGTGACTCACACCTATAATCCTAGCAACTCAGGAGGCTGAGATCTGAGAATTGTGGCTCAAAGCCAGCCTGGGTAGTAAAGTCCATGAGATTCTTATCCCCAATAAACTACCAGAAAACCAGAAGTGGCGCTGTGTCTCACCTGGTAAAGTACTTGAGCCCAGAGTTCAAGCCCTATGATAAAAAAAAAAAAAAAAAAAAAAAAAAAGTGTGTCCATGGCTCATGCCTGTCATCCTAGCTACTCAGGAGGCTGACATCTGAGGATCACAGTTCAAAGCCAGCCCAGGCAGGAAAGACCGTGAAACTCTTATTTCCAATAAACCACTCAGAAAACTGGAAATGGCATTATGGCTCAAGTGGTAGAGCTCTCGCCTTGAGCTGAAGAGCTGAGGGACAGCACCCAGGCCCGGAGTTCAAGCCCCACAATCAACAACAACAAAAAAGTAGACTCTGGATGAATCCATCTAAAAACAGGAACATTCTGTAAACCAAAATTTGATACAACACAATGTTATTTGGGCTAGATGTTCAGAGATTATATAACAAATTAGTCCTATTAATTCTGCCTTCATACATTAAACTGACAGCCCACAGACACTGCAGTAATGATTAGGTCTTGAACAAATTCCTGTAATCTCTCAACTTTCTCATTTATAATATACTTAGAAGAGATAACTTCTTTAACTTCTTTCCTAATATACATAAAAACCCTAACAAACCTAAGTCACTGTTACAGCTAAAGAAAGTAGGCTGTAAGAAAACCTTCATGAAGTGGGGGGGAGTATAATCGTGGAGATGGGAGAGCAGGGATGGTAGAGGAAAAACAAAGGAGGCGGCAACAATGCTTGATAAGAAATGTACTTATTACCTTGCTTGTGTAATTGTAACCCCTCTGTACAGTACAAAAACTTATTTAAAAATAAAATTAAAAAGCAGGGTGCTAGTGGTTCACGCCTGTCATCCTAGCTACTCAGGAGGCTGAGATTTGAGGATCATGGTTCAAAGCCAGCCTGGGCAGGAAAGTCCAAGATACTCTTATCTACAATAAACCACCAGAAAACCGGAAGTGGTGCTGTAGCTCAAGTAGTAATGTGCTTGCCTTGAGCTGAAGAGCTGAGGAACAGTGCCCAGACCCAGAGTTCAAGCCCCACGACCAACGAGAGGAGAGGAGAGGAGAGGAGAGGGGAGGGGAGGGGAGGGGAGGGGAGGGGAGGGGAGAGGAGAGGAGGAAGGGAAAGGAAGGAAGGAAGGAAAGGAGGGAGGGAAGGAGGGAGGGAGGGAGGGAGGGAGGGAGGGAGGGAAGGAATCTTCAGGCTAGAAGCCAGGTATGGGGGCTCAGACCTGTAATGCTAGCTACCTGGGAGTACAAGGCCAGCTGGGACAACTAGTTCCTGAGACCCCATTTCAGGAAAAAGCGAAGTATGATGGTGCATGTTTCTCTCATCAGCTATGGTGAGAAGCAGAGATTGGAGGATCATGGTTCAAGTACACTTGGGAGAAGTGTTGAGATGTTATTTCAATAATAATCAAAAGCAAAGGGGCTGGAAGTTGCCTAGCAAGCACAAGACTGAGTTCAAATTCTAGAACCTTAAAAAAAAATCCATAGAGGATAGTCTATTAGCAATCTACAAAATACATTTGAGGCTGCTATTGTTCTGGAGCTAGAAGAGAGGTAGACCCTGCCTCCTTAAGAACTTTCAGTACAAGACAAAGCATAGAGGTAAACATTCTTGAACTTGTCCAACACCAAAGGTAAGTTCTCAGTCCTTGATTTTCCAGTCTTTAATCTCCCATTGCCTAGATGCCCACGTCTCCATGGCAAGCAAGCCACAGGATCCTGCTCTAACATATAAACATTTCAGTTCTTATACACATGTAACTATCCTGCTTCTTAGTAACAAATGAGTCACATCAAAAGGTTAAAAAAAAAACGGTTGATAGTAAAGTCCCATTTGCTTTCATTAGTGCTTTTGGCAAGTGCTCATTTTATGGCTAAATTACCTTATTAGCATTTTAAGGTAAGTCTAACTTCTTTTACTGCAGAAAGTTCTTTACATCTAATATATACAATGCCTTGGTATGTTGCAGTTCACTTATTGTAGCTTCACTGTATCACAGGTTAAAAAATATATATATATCTAATTCTGTATCAGTTTTCACTGTATCTCAGGATTTTGTAGTATACAGGTATTTATATATTTATGATCTTAATTTTTTGCCTAAAATTTTAAAATATGTTAACTCAAACATATTAAAATATTACATTGGTCCCGCCTTCTCTTCACCGCTCCCAGCGCCATCCCAGGAGGTTTGTTCCAACAGTCACGGGAAGGCGGTTCCCAACCCTCGGGACCTGGCAAGCGCGTCCGACACAGCTGGCCTGCTGCTGAACCAGTTGGTGACTTCAGGGATGGTCACTGAGGAAATGTTAAGTATGTCCAAGGAAACAGCTCCTTGCTTTGAGAATTTCTCCAGATTACAGCAGATCAATAATATTCAAGCTGAAATCTACCAGAAAAGCCTGGAAATTGAGCTTCTGGAACTAGAAAGAGTCAGCAGACGTTATTCATCCTTTCTATTTGAACACATGGTATGTTTGCTGAAATTGGCTGTGACTTTTATTGAGAAACTGGAAACCCATCTTGAAATAATTAGAAATAATTCTCATTTAGGTGCAAATCTAAAGAAAATGAGCCAGGCTTTAGCCAAGATGGACATTTTGGTGAATGAGACAGAAGAACTTGCAGAAAATATACTCAAGTGATGAGAAAAACAAAAGGAAGTTTCCTTGTGTATGCCCAAAGTACTAGCTGAAGAAAATCATCTTCATAAACATGGCTTTATAGTATCTTGTACTTCTAAAGTTCATGCTCAAAATATTGATACCAAGTGATTATTCACTTTATTTTTACTGTATTGTATATAGTTATACAAGGTCTATTTCTAGTTAACTATGACATGGATATTTATAGAATTTGCTGATGAAAATATTGGAATACCGATTTAGGTTCATTTTTTTTCTGTATGTTTATATTCTGCTCTTCAGTAATGGAGATCTAACTTAGCTATGATAATTAAAAAGTAAATTAAAAAAATATTATATTGAAATAAAATACAGTATGCCACTACCACTTGTATAAGTTTATCAATGTGAAACTATACAGCACACTACTGGCTGACAGGATGGAAAGTGACCAACTACAGCATTGTATTCTATCTTGGCACTGATTGGCTCAGTGACCATAGCACTGGTCTGTTTGCTGTTCTTGGCTATGCAATACATTCATCTCATGGTCATCACCTTTGTTGACATCAGTACACAATTCATGGTCTTCATCATTCAAGTTTTAGTGTACTTTACTGGTGAGTACCCATATCAGATTTTATGTTGTTAAAATTATGCAGGTTTAGGGGCTGGGAAGGTGACTCAGTGGTAGAGCGCATGCAGGAGGCCCTGGGTTCGATTCCTCAGCACCACATAAGCAAAAAGAAAAAAGCCAGAAGTGGCGCTGTGGTTCAAGTGGTAGAGCGCTAGCCTTGAGCTGAAGAGCTGAGGGACAGCGCCCAGGCCCAGAGTTCAGGCCCCACAACCGGACCCCTCCCCCCCCAAAAAAAATGCAGGTTTAAGAGCAAATGAAGTGTTTATAAAAGTGTGGGAAAGGATAGTAAGAGTGGGAAAAGTTTATAGGAAAAGAGGTTTCTAAAGCCTTAAACTATATATAAAAAATAAATATAATGCGGTTGCTTCACAGATTTTCACCTTTGCATGGGTCTCTGGAATGTAACTCTCTGGAGAGGTGAGGGATCACTGTAATTCTAGACAGCAGTTTTTGCTATATCACAGGATTTTGCAATATATAGGCATTTATATATTTATGATTCTTTTTGCCTAAAAAACTTACAATGATGTCAATTCAACCATATTAATGCAGTATATACTGTATTTCATCAGCAGATGAATACCATACTGTACACAAAGGAAATGCAGTACGCCACTACTGCCTGTGCAAGTTTGCCAACATGAAATTGTACACAGCATATGATTGTCTGATAAAATGGAAGGTACCCAACCACAGCACTGTGTATTGTATCCTGGGTGCTGATTGGCTCAGTGACTATAGCAGTGGTCTGTCTGCTCTCCCACACTATGCCCATACAGTCTCTCCTTGTGCACTTCACATGGATATCTGATCACTGCACATAGTGGTGCTCTGTGGTGGTCTTTCTGTGCAATTTTTGTAAAAGTTTGAACTTATTTCAAGCCCTACAATGCCACCCAAACATTGTGCACTTTCTGAGACTTCTGGCAGTGAACCTAAGTGCCAAAGGAAGATGCTTACCATCAAAGAAAAGGTAGAACTTTCTTGATGTGTTAAAGGAAAAGGCTATATGGTCTGGGCCACCATTACAGGATCAGCGAATCCACTGTTCACTATACAAAGATGAAAATATTAGGTCTATAGCAATAAGGACGTTTAACAAAACTGCAATGAGGGTGGTCACTTCCTGCAATACGGTCATTGTGAGGATGAATAAGGTCATTGTGAGGATGGAGTCTGCATTGGCCCTGTGGATAAAGGACTGCAGCAACAGTATCTTGTTGCTTATCAACACCATCTGTACAAAGGCCAAGGAACATTATGCTTTTTGTGGAAAGCACAGACCTTCACGACGGTGATGATGAAGATGAAGATGAAGATGACACAAAAGCAGAACACAGAGTGCTTCTCCCACCAAACCAACCCCATTCAGAGCCAATAACGGCTGGTTTGACAAATATCAAAGACACTTTGGACTTAAGAGCATTTCTCTGCATGGAGAATCTGCCTCTGAGGATAAAGCCAGAGCCAAGGAGTACGAGAATGGGGTGTTCAAGTCCATCATCGAGTAAGGGGGCTATCTGACTGAACAAAGTCAGCAAGTAAAGAAGAGGACGGGCAGCCAGACAAACTATGGGTTGGAGGAGGAGGTTGGCCTAACCCTCAATCATCTTGTAACCATGGTCAGAATGGCCAAAGAATTTCAGCAAGTGGCTGAAGATGGGACCCCATTATATGCTTCGTTCATTGCACAGCATAAATACAACTGAGAATGGCATGTCAGTTTATAAAAACCTTATCACTCGGGGAAAAAAATAGCACCAGCAACTTCACATAACTATATTCATCACACAGACAAAGAGATCAGTTATGCCTACGCCTTTAGCAGAAACAGAAGTTACAGCCCAGGGCGAAGATACTGCACCACCAGCTGATGTGCCTGATGAAGTGGTGCCTTCAGAAGAGCTGCGATGTGCTGCTTGGTTATACAGTATATTCATCTCATCTCATCTCGTTACCTTCATCACCATTAGCACTGCATAGCTCCATAATTCATGATCGTCATCGTTCAAGTTGTAGTACACTTCACTGGTGAGTACCCATACAGAATTTTATATGCTGTTAAGACTACATAGGTTTAAGAGTGTAGAAAAATGTTTAAGAAGGTTGAGATCTAAGGATCATGGTTCGAAGTCAACTTGGGCAGAAAAGTCCTCGTGAGACTCTTATCTCCAATTAACAACCAGGAAATTGAGGAGCTGTGGCTCAAAGTGGTAGGGTGCTAGCCTTGAACACAAAGAGGCTCAGGATAACACCCAGACCCTGAGTTCAATGCCCACAAACCACACACACAAAGTGTGGGAAAGGTTAATAAGAGAGTGGGAAAGGTTTATAGTCTTTAAAGTTACATACATATGTGTATACACACACAAAATAAATATAATGCTGCTACTTTTTGGATTTTCACATATTGTGTGGACATCTGAAATATAACTTCTGGGATAGGTAAGAGATTATTGTAATGTCCAACTTGGTGAACAGTGTCCAATAAGAGAAAGAAAATCCAATATGGTTAACTAGAATTCATTTTCATGCTTATAATCCTAAACTTATTTATTTTTTGGGGGGGGGGGTCTGGTCGTGGGGCCTGAACTCTGGGCCTGGGCGCTGTCCCTCAGCTCTTCAGCTCAAGGCTAGCGCTCTACCACTTGAGACACAGCGCCACTTCTGGCTTTTTTCTTTTTTTGCTTATGTGGTGCTGAGGATTCGAACCCAGGGCCTCGAGCATGCAAGGCAAGTGCTCTACCACTGAGCCACCTTCCCAGCCCTTATTTATTTTTTTTTGCCTTAGAAAATTATGCTACAAATGATTAGGCTGAAGATTTCTAAGGTTGAAAAGAAAACCCACAAGCCCAACAATATTTACTTGTTATCAGACTACTGGCTACACCTGCTATATGAAGCTGAAATTACTATTTCTGGTACAATTCCAAAGTAGTCCTTTTCCATAATTAGAATGCTCTTAGAACAACTCTCTTCCTAAGGTATTCCCTGACAGTTGAAAGTAAAACTGTGATGGGCGCCAGTAGCCCACACCTGTAATCCTAGCTACTCGGGAGGCTAAGATCAGAGGAATGCAGTTGAAGCCAGCCTGGGAGGGAAAGTCTGAATGGGGTGGAGTTGTGGCAAGTGGTAGAAGGCAAAATTGTGGCTCAGAGACAGCACCCAGGCTCTGTGTTTAAATCCCAGGATTGGTTAAAAAAAAAAAAAAAAAGTAAAACCAGCACTCCCTGCAGAGCTAACCTTGATTCCTTTCTGTGAAACACAAGGCTTATTTTCTCCAAATTTTCTGATGGTGAAAACTCATTCTTCATTTTGCATTTTCCCCACTTAAGGATCAAGCTCTTCTATTTGGTAAATTCCTTCAGAATGAGGACACTGGATAAGTTTCCTCTCATTGGTGGAGTTTCTGATGTCTAAGAAGGCTTGAGCGCCTACTAAAGTTTCTCTTACATATACTACAGGTATAAGGCTGCTCTCCTGTGTGGGTTCTCCGGTGTTTAATAAGATGGGAGTTCTGACTGAACTTTTTCCCACACTCATGACAAGTAAAGGGCTTCTCTCCAGTGTGAGTTCTTTGGTGAGTGTGAAGATTTGTATTTTGGCTGAAGCTTTTCCCACACCAAGAACATTTATATGGTTTTATTCCTTGGTGTGTGGTTAAGTGCTTACTGAGAGCTGAACTCCACCTAAACCTCTTATCACACTGCTGACATTTGTAAGGTTTCTCTTCAGTGTGAATTCTTTGGTGCTTAAAAAGGTCAGAGCTAACTTTGAAGCTTTCCCCACATTCTGGGCATTTAAAGGGTTTCTCTCCTTCACAATCTTTCTTGCGAAGATCCATAAGTCTCAGCAGCTCTTGTTTCCATGTTGAAAGTTTCTTTCTTTTCTTCACTGAAAAATCTCGGTGCCATTTCCCCACTCTGTGTGTATCACCATGATTTTGTTTGCCAGTTGCTTTCTGGGAAACTTCCAATTTGATCTTTTTTGATACTATGTCTTTTGATGCTTGCATTTCTAAGTCAGAAAGTGATATAGGCTGGTGATTTTCATTGTCATTTTTTACTTTTAACCCTGTTGGAATAAACATAAGATTCAGCCACCTGTATTGCTGAACAAGAAAACGACAGAAATGGGATGGAAAATTAAGTGATTATTATTTTTTTAATTAGAAGAAAAACATTAAGTCCCTGAAAACGTTCACATGAACATGTTTCCTCCCGTAAATCACAATTTACCTGTACAAAATCCTCTACGACTGTCTTTGAAATCTGAGGATCCTTGAACCCATGGTTCCTCCCCTTGTTCTAGACAGAAGATCACTTTAGGTTTGGGAAGCACAAATAATGCTGTGAGATGAAAAAAATGAAATTAAGCTATGAAAGTTAACAGTGAATTGTTCCATTAATTATACTTAGGGAAAACGAAGAACACTTTTACAGTGTATTACTGCAAATAAGTAAATGGAGTCTTCCACATCCATAACCGTTTCTATTCTACTGTATTCATGGATGGATATGAAAAGCAGAGACTG